CTTTTTTTTTTGCCCTCGGGGACCGAGAGTTGTCACTTCTTTGAAAACAACGCATCCTGCAAGGAAGAAAGCGTTTTATAGAGGTATCCTGCTGAACCCCACTGGCGAAGAGCAAACCTGTCAGTCGGAAGGAAATGTTAAGAATTGGGTCTGTTCCCTGGTGTGTGACTTTTCCGGTTGATATGTCTTGAACTTTAAAAAAAATGTAGACAAGTCTCTGTAGTGTGGTATTAGGCTACTACAAATAAGATCGGATTTAAAATTTGTCCTTTAACATAAATTCTTTGTGCGACTTTACTAAGTTGCTATAACAGTTAAGGTATGTTAGAAGCACTGCAATGAACTACAGTACTTGATAACTCTAAAGCACAAAAGTAAACTACAAACCTGATCACTTCCTGTACATTCTGTTCCCTTAGTTATTCTCAGTTTTACTGTATCTGTAGATATGATCTGAAGAGACAACTCTTTCAATGGAACAGTTTAAATTGCTTGCAGAAGTACTTCCGAGAGATGTTGCAGTGTTTGCGTTTTGTATCCTCCCTAGGTGTTGGAATGGACTCCTGTGTAATCCCTTTGAGGCATGGTGGGCTCTCCCTTGTACAAACTACAGACTTCTTTTATCCACTGGTGGAAGACCCCTACATGATGGTGAGTTCAGGGAGACAGTGGGTACCAACAGACAGTGAGGGCTGTGGATTCATTAGAAGGAATTGAGCTGTGTCTGTGATGGAACATGATACATTTGTGCTCAGTATCTATAGGTCTGCCTTGTCAGGCTCATGGAGACAGTTGGCTTGCTTGTCACTTTCACCAGTATTGAATGCCTATTGCTGCTTGTGTCTAATTTAGGGCCGCATTGCCTGTGCCAACGTTCTGAGTGATCTCTATGCCATGGGCATCACAGAGTGTGACAACATGCTTATGCTACTGAGCATCAGCCAAAAAATGACTGAGGAGGTGAGAGATGCCATAAATAATTGTTTATTTTAAAATAGCTTTTTAAAAAAATAGCATCAAAACTTGAATGTTTTGAACCTTGAATGTTTTTATATGCACTTTATATGATGAACTGTATGTAATTACATTATAGAGAGTTATAAAGGGAATTACTAGCCTGTCTCAGGCTGTCATTCTGGAAGTTTCTTGTTCAGGCTTAGCTAGGTAGGGAAGTGGAGGCAGTGATACTTTAGCAAGCCTTAAAAAGAAGGGGAACCATTGTTTAGCAATGGAACACATGCTGTGAAGGAAAGAGATACCAAGTTTGATTCCTGGCGTTATCATTTAAAAAAATCAAGTGGCAAACGAAGTGCAAGTCCTCTGGATGTGACAAAGGGGAACCGCTGCTGTTTGGAGCAGACACCACTGAGCTAAATGGAGAAATATTAAATAGAGAACAACATGTATTCTGGGTATGCTTTGCTACACTACCAGTATATTAAGTACAATTTTTCTGCGATGAGGCATACATTTAGGATTTGAATGTGTGACGGTTTGCAGGGATAAAATCAAACATTTGGATTCAATTCAGACATCATGCCAAATCAGTTTTGAACTCAGATCTTAGTTTCAGCTTCAAAACAATCAGCCAAGATATCAGAGCTGTTTGTCTGCTTTCATTCCCCATCACCATTATTAAAAGGTGTAGGGACTCCTGGGATGGTAGAGGAAAACCTGAAATGACAGGCTTTGAATTCATACACCTGCAAAGAAAAAAAGTAAGCAAGCTTACTTAAGTGGCTTAAATTTTTTAACACTTATTTGTTGGCCACTTTAAACAATGGCATGTCAGTTTGGGGCATTAAATAAAACCATAATTAAGCTTCTTTAAGCATTGAACTGAATCCTTATAGCCAAGCACACTTTACAAAGCCAGTATTTGGTAGATTCCATTTTGCTGTGGAGCACACAGGCAGGAAAGGGGGAGTATTCCAAAAGAGGCCCAAGAATTATTGCAAGCAGGTCCCTGATGCCTTTGTTGTTTCTTTCACTCAGGAGCGGGAGAAAATCATGCCGCTGCTAATCAAGGGCTTCCGAGATGCAGCAGAAGATGGTGGAACTTCAGTAACTGGTGGGCACACAGTCTTAAATCCTTGGATCATTGTTGGCGGGGTGGCAACAGTTGTTTGCCAGCCAAATGAATTCATCATGTGAGTACTAAGATCTCAAGTAGGTTGGAGTTCAAAAAGTTTACTTACAGGGCCATAGATGTGTTTGCAGAAAGATTAACTATATTACACTGACAGTTATTGGGCAATAGGCTTGCTAAATTAAAATGTCTCTGAGGTAAAAACTAGAGTTGAAGACAGCATCATTGAGCTAGATTTAACATGTAATTAATGTAATTTAAAATTTACAAGACAAAACTTGGGTGTGGGAGCTGAAAAGTCTTTTTTGCTCTTGTTCCATAATAAAGAGTATTGTTGCAAAAGTCATTGTGGTTACCAAATCATGTACAAGGTGACTCTGTAGAGACAAAAAGAATGGTCACAATGAAAATAATGTAGTATGCTAGTGAAAATAAGTGGAGCTAACCTTGCTAATAGTCCAGATGGAAACTTTCTTGAGAATAGTGTGTAATACACACCCTGTGAAGAAGCAGGACTGACCAATATTATTGAGGCATGGGTGCAATTAAGTCTTTCTGTGCTGCCTTGATATCTGGATCAACACTAGCATAGAAGGTTAAAGTGGCTGTATGGTCTATATTACAGCAATTCTCTTTCCATGCTTCCTCTGTGTGTGTGTGTGTGTGCGCACGTGTGCACGTGTGTGTATGTGAGAGAGTTTTGAATATATGTATCTGAAGTTGGGATCCCATTGATGAACCATCATTCTTTCTGCCTGAGCAGATGTGATGTGAGGTTTGGTATTAAAGATTCCAGGGATGATTGTCTTGAGCAGGGGTTTCAACATCTGTGTTCGGACAGTCTGGCTGCCCTGATGGCCATGAGGGTGTTCCAACACATAATTGGCCTAGTGCATGCAGCAATGTACGTATTCTGGTCCTCATTTTACGCCCAGAGTGGTCGATCAGACCAGATGGGCGGGATATGAATGAAATAAATAAATAGGTATGAGGCTATTGATCTCAAGTAATGGATTTTATACCTATTCCCGTGTTATATAATTTCATCTGGAATTTAGAGTTACGGTGGCCTTGTCCGCTTGGGGGGTGGGGTGAGAGACCTAGTAGGATGTTCCACCCTTGGAGACTAATGGAATATGAGGGGTTCCTGAGGAGCCTGAAGGATTCTCTCACTGTTGCCACCCTTGCTTTCTAGGCAGCCTCAGCTGCTGTGTAAAAGCAGGTATTTTCTATTACTGTTGGGCACTCACTGTGCCTCTTGGTAGCTTGGTCAGGTATTTTTGGCCTAGCAGGAGATGCAAGATAACCCCTGTAAATGTACTGTGGTTTGCTTGCCAGACACCTTGACAGAATTGCTTCCATCCTCCTGATGCTGTGTTTACAGAAAGTCAACCAAAGTAGGATAGGTGTCCAAAACAGAGTCTGGTGTGATTGTGTCGAATACTTTCAGTTACTAGGATTGAGGATGTGGGCATGCTTTAGACATGTCCAGACGACCATGTTTATGTTGGCCCTTGCTTCTTTTGACTTATGCCTTCAACAAGGAGCATGTCAAAGAGAGCCTCTCTGAGAAAGAGAGGTATTCCCAAGTGTCTTAAATGAAGTTATGATTTAGTTATTTTCTGACGAAATGTGTCTTGGAATGGAAAATGTGGTGGCTGACATTTTCTGCCTAGCCACCCAGCTTCACACACTCTTGGATGGAACTGATTCTAGGCTGAGTTTTGATACAGCAACTTGGTGGTGGGGAACAGGAAGGTATAATCACAATAAGGCTAGATATTTCCAGATGTCATGCGTTCAGCCCAAGAAAATCTGGAACCAGAGTGGTTAATTACAGCCGAGGAAAATGCTGGGCAATTAGAATCACCGCCAGATTCTCCTCTCCCAGTAGCCAGAGCGGGCAGAGGAAGCTTGTGGAAGCAACAAGTCAATTCTCTGGCTCTCCACGCTCCTGCTTATCTTGAACCTTGTTCTCTTGACCCTTGGCTTTTGGACTCTGACTTCTGACTAAGGTTGTTAGTTTTGGCTTTGACAATTTGGCATCTGTTTTGTATCTCCTGGACTTCTGATACTGGACTGGCTTCTTGGACTTTTGCCTGCTGAATCCCCTAGGAACGTGACACCAGATGCATAGGAAAATGTTTATTAGGCCTAGCAAATTCCATCACAAATTATTTTTCATGGGTATTGAATGAAATCCTAATATTCTAAGCCTGACATAAAATTGCTGTTGTAACTTCATTTTATTTTGCCAGTGGTCATAGTGTTATTTCCAGAGGACCTTTAAACTACCTTAAAATTTAACCTTTTAAACCATTTCTTTTTATAGTACTCTTAAGCAACATTGTGCCTATTCCTATTGTTGTAGAATTTAAACTGTCTTATATCTCGTTAGGAGCTGTCCTGATAATTTTGCTTCAGAGTGGTGGATATAAAATTTAATAAGAACTTGAGCCTTGAGATCCTTTTTATTTTTATTCTAGGCCAGACAGTGCAGTTCCAGGGGATGTCCTTGTACTGACCAAACCACTAGGGACTCAAGTGGCTGTGAATGCTCACCAGTGGCTGGATAATGTAAGTCCTTGCCTGTGGGGAATGTCAGGTGGGACAGTCCTTTTGAGTTCCTTCATATGCTGGGAGGACAAAGGGAGAGGTCTCGTATATATAAAGGGAGACAAGCAAGAAAGTATTGGCACTAAAATAGGTCTAAGCTTAATATAGACCTTGGGCTGTAAAATAGATTTAGAATATTCTTTGTGCCTGTATTATCTAATGCAAATGAAACTTATCAAGACACAGAAAATAGGATGTAGAGCAAAAGTAACTTGACTCACAATGGCCTTGTCTTGGAAATCTTATCAGTGTTCTGTGCTAACTTGTGTGGGACAGAAGTCACAGAATTTGCTGCTGAGGAGCAGAGAACCTCATTTCCAAACTCTTGTTACTTCTGTTCCAGCCAGAACGGTGGAACAAGATCAAGCTGGTGGTTTCCAGAGAAGATGTTGAACTAGCCTATCAAGAAGCCATGTTTAGTATGGCCATGCTAAACAGAACAGGTAGGTTGAGGTTTGACATGTATGTCGTTTGGAACTCATGACTGATGCTGTTGTGACAAAGATGCTGTGCTTGTTTTTAAAACAGCTAAAGTATGTTAGAATACTAAATCTATTTTTGAGTATTTTGGGGTGAACTGAGCTACCTTCCAAGAGGTGGGAAAGGAATATTTTTAATAACATGTTATCTTAATTGTCCACACTTACTGTGCATGTACTTCTCCTGAGGCTTATAGCATTTGTATTCCACTTCTATAAAGGGCCAGTGTATTGAACGGAGCTTCCTAAATTAGAAACTCACCACTTTGTCCTCCCCAGAGAAGAATTTGTGTTTAAAAGTATGAAGCAACAGCAGTCTTGTGTATACTTGCATATATTAGGCTTGTCTCATTTCCAGACATTACCCAACTTCTATCCCTTCCCAGTAAAACTTATTGCTGGGATGAGTCATGAAGCTCAAGTGTTTGAAATTCTGTGGCAGAATTATTTGATAAATCTGCATTGAGCTACAAAAAGCATAAGTGATTAAACAGAACTGATTTCTGCAGACATTTGCAGTTTGTTTGGAATCATGCAAATGACACTCCCTAAGCCCAAATAAGATCTAAAATATCCATAGTTTGTAACACATTCACAAACCTACACTGCTCCCACCTGCCTCCTGAATAGCAGGAATTGACACTACAAGAATGATTGTTACTGTGTCAGTTTTACACTGGGTCATAGTTAGCTGAGAACTGCTATATGCAGAACTGGCTATTATTCTGCCATCACATGTGCCTCTAAATGTTCTTTTTCTTCCAGCGGCCAGTCTGATGCACACTTTCAATGCTCATGCAGCCACAGACATTACGGGCTTTGGAATTCTGGGCCATGCACAGAACTTGGCCAAGCAGCAGCGCAGTGAGGTATCATTTGTCATCCACAACCTGCCCATCATAGCCAAGATGGCTGCCATCAGCAAAGCATGTGGCAACCGGTCTAGGCTCCTGCAAGGAACATCCCCAGAAACATCTGGTAAGAGAGACTAAGGGAGGGGACAGGTTGGCATCTGTCACTGTATCTCTGGGTGATTAGCAGTTGTTCATTGGTTTGTGACTTAGTAACAAAATAGCAAGACAAGGTGGTATACTGAGTCCTCCATTGTAATGCTCAAATGAAGGCCCTTACCATAATGATTGTTGGTTAATTATGCACTCTGACCAGTAGTTGTACTAAAAACAAATTCCTGGACTCAAGATTATTTAATTCCAAGTATTTGTTTTTAAGATTTCTTTGGATATTAGTAAAAAAGTAGACTACCTCCTACAAATTGGCAGTTCGCATTCCCTCCTCATAGGCTACAGTAAATGAAACTATTGGGAGTCACTTTACATCTGTGAGCCGCTTGCTCTCTTTTTCTGATAGGTGGCCTGCTGATCTGTTTACCTCGGGAACAGGCTGCTCGCTTTTGTGCTGAAATCAAGTCTCCTAAATACGGAGAAGGACATCAAGCCTGGATCATTGGCATTGTGGAGAAGGGCAACCAGACGGCCCGCATCATTGACAAACCTCGTATTATTGAAGTGACACCTCGTGGGGCCAGTGCCTCCCCTCAGGATAACAATTCCAGTGCCAGCCCTGAAGCCGCCTCATGAGGTGGCAGAATGGCTTTCTTCTGTCCACTGTAGATTCTAGGCATGAAAGTGCAGCATGCTGATGTTCTGGATCAATGTGCCCTCACTTTCTATTCTAGCACAGTGATCCCCAGAACACAATCTCTTTACTTGTTGATGGCTCATTTCTTCCTGTCATCTGAAGGTGTGATTACTTTTAAAGCTATTTCCTACAAGCAGGTAAATTGCTTAGCACTGTTTGATCTGAAGAAGATAGTAACTTGAATTATTTATTGGGATAGTTCTGCCTGTTCTTGAACTCACACCGCTTTTTGGTCAGACTGAGCAGCTGGTCCAAAAGGAAAGTGGGTTGTTTAAAAAGCCATTTGGCTGGGGTAGAGGTCTCTCCTCTTTCATGAAGCACCTCCTTTAAAAGCCATTTGTAGCTTTAGGAGGAGCAGAGGAGCCTTAGAGGAGTAGCACCAAGCTCAGCTTCATGGATTGTCCTTTCGGTTGTAAATTATTGGTGATTGCATTAATTAAAAAAAGTTGATTTCTACAGTGCGTATGAGATGTCAGAAGGATGGAGTGTTTCTTGGTATAAGTTGGGAAGTCATTGTTGATCTTGAACTTTGCTTTAATTGACTTGAGATAAAAGTAAGAACATACAATGGCTCTTCATACTGCAGGCGAAGTGGTAACTAGGCATAACAAGCAGCCTCTTAGAAGGCCCCCCTTTTGTACTACTCTGTGCATGGTCTGCCTCATCACAGCTTGGCTGAAGAAATGTCTAAGGCACAGTTAGGGCAGACCTGGGGGATTCCTCCTGTGACCTAGGAAACAAGAACTATCCATCTTCATGGAGAAGAGGGCAATCCTCTTTTCACGTTGAAAAGGAAAGTTACCAAGAGGAACTTATCAGTATTTAACATTCTTTCACACAAACCCCAAATAGTGCAAATCCCCTTTTCCCATGGCTAGGGTAGCCAGACCCTGAAGAAGGACAGCAAAAGGCTCAACCATTCTCATAGGAGGAAAATTAATAACATACATGGGGGGCGGGGTTAAACAGTCCCTGATCCTTGTGCCAGGGTCCTCTTTCTCTCTCTCTTGTCAACATCTGAACCACTGGTCATGTTTAAGGCAATGCAGCAGAAGCACATCACAAACTGGAACCCTCCCTCCTTCCTTCATCAGTGTCACTGGATGCAGTCCATCACATGGATCTGTAGCGTGTCCATGTCTGGAGCTCTGTACTGGCACTTGGGGCAACTGAAGTGAGGCTGTTCATCAGCAATGCTTTGCCTGTGCCCTGTAATCATCGGGGGATGGAATGTATTGGCACCCATCAGGAAAGCTGGAATGACAAAGGAGAATGGGTTAAGAAGCGCAAAACCTGGCATCTCGTTCCCTTCCTAGCTAACACTGATGGCTACATGTTTGGTAACAGTTGTGAGTTACTGCAGAAGCTTAAAACAGGGTTGAACACCTTATGGCTCTCCACATTCTATTGACCTTATGCAACATAGCTAATAATGCTAAGGGTTGCAATCCTGAAAATATCTAGAGGATCACAAGTTGCTTTTCCTTGATTTTAAAGAAATTTGAAGGAGAAAACAAGGAGGGACAAATCATTTCAGCAGGCTTAGAGGGTGAAAAAGAAGTGCAATCTGTACCACAATTGAACAAGATGGCACTATGACTGCTAAACAATCACTATCCAGCCAAGTAGGCTTTCTTCAAAAAGAAATCTTGTCCAAATGAAGGAGAACAATAAAGTGAATGAAATGCAGCATTTTTAAAAAGAGCCACATTATTTGGAAATAATACTGATAGCTTGAAACCATCAATAGGATATTGGATATCAGAGATCAAAGGAGCAAAGTGCTTTTTAAAAATCAGAACAATGGGGCTACATTTTTGTTTTTGGGTTTTTTGGCATCTGTCTTCACCATGGACCTGTTGCCCTCAACTCATGGAAATGCAGTTGAAGAACCAAGTCAAATAGAGGTGACTAGCTGAACATTTAGACTTTACTGATAAATATCACATGCATTATTACTGCAGTCACTTTATTTAGCAGAAGAGTGGCAGGCAGAGTACTAATTCTAAAAGAAATTTTAGCAAGCATGAAGATGAAGTGAAGCCACATTGTATAGCTGTACTTCCACAGTGGTTTTGACAAAATCCTTATCAAAGGCCTCAGTTTCCTAAGGAAACAGGCAGGAGATAAGAGGGCAGATCCTCTTAGGATTAGTAATTGGATAAAGAGGAACTTGGGGTAAATGGCCAGCTCCTATAATGGAGAGAAGCATGCCATGAATGGCTACTGCTGGACATACTGGGGACCACTGCTATTTAACTTGTTCCTGAATGAAAAGTGATTGATCAGTAACATTGAGGTTTGGAGAGGAGAATTTACAATAGTGAATGGAAAATCAGATTAAAACAGGATCTTGGAAAGCATCTCCAAATGTGAATATGTAACCAACTGACAGATGAGGTTCCCTGTAAGTATTGTGCAGTGACGTATAATCAGAGAAAATATTTTAGTTTCACAGATACAGATGGGGTCTGAACTAGCACAAACCAACCAAGAAAGAAATACTAAGGTCAATAACTGAAGGTAATTTTCATACCAAGAATTGGAATGGTGTTTAAAATTAACTTTCTTGTATTCTAACGCCTTTAATATACAGTGGTACCCCGCTTGACAATGACCCCACTTGATGACGAAATCACTTTACAATGACTTTTTTGTGATCGCTATAGCGATCGCAAAACGATGTTTCTATGGTGTTTTTTCGCTTTACGATGAATAGTTCCCTGCTTCGGGAACCGTTTTTTCGCTAGACGACGATTAGAAACAGCTGATCGGCGGTTTGCAAAATGGCTCCCCGCTGTTTTCCGGACCAATTGTTCGCAAGACAGCGATCCCAAAATGGCCACCCTATGGAGGATCTTCACTGGACGATGAGGTATTTCCCCCACTGGAACGCATTGACTGGTTTTCAATGCATTCCAATGTGTTTTTTTCCGCTTGACGATCTCACTTAACAGCGATTTTCCTGAAATGCATTATCATCGTCAAGTGGGGCACCACTGTACATTTCTGGTGCATGCATCTTTGGTACAGTGCTGGCAACCCACATCTCAAACAAAGGCTATCAGCTGCAAAGTGGGCAAAACTCAAGGGTCTGGAGTTGCGCCAAATCCTCAAAAAAGAACTTAGCAGTAACGAAAGAAACCCAGTTCTGCCTGCCAACAGTAAACCTGGCCCAAGCCCTTGAGAAATTCTGCAGATAGGAATTTGCCACCCATTTTGCCTCAGTAGCTGGTTGGAGAACCTTCCCTATAAGGTACAGATAAAGTTACAGAAGCTTATTTTCAAGGTGTGTATATATCTACAAGATACGCACAGCACAGGGGAAATAAATAGACTACTAGAACTCTGGTCATATTTACCCATAGATTTAGGACAGATAAAAAGCACTTTGTATGTAAGACTAATGGAATTCAGCGCCACAAGGCCTAAAAGTCATCTAGTTAGCTGGCTTGGACAAATCCAAGAGGCAGGACAGGTATGCCAAAGGCTATTTACTATGAGGGCAGTATAGAACCTCCATATTCAAAAGCAATATTCCACTGAGCATCAGTTCCTGGAAGGCAACAGTGAGGGCAGGATTACTACCTTCAGATCTTTATGGATTTACTAGAGACATCACTTGTCATTGTGGGAAAGAGGATCATGAACTAGACAGATCTTCAAGTGGATAGGTCAGGGCTTTATTTATGTTCTCCCATTAGTAGTAATGGTCTGGGACAGTCAAATCATCTTTTGTAATCAGTTCCTACACTGTACTGTAGTCACTCGCAAAAACAAGGAATTACAGAACTGTTTCAGCTGACTGGTTGTGGCACTTCTAGGCTGCTATATATAATTTGCCCTGGATCTTTCTTACGAAAGAGGTGGACCTGGACCCTGCATTCTTCCAGGTTTGTCTTTCTACTTGTTTTACCCCGATTTCACCTCTTGGTGCACAGGATGGTTGTCTTCGGCCCTCAGGTATTCAGTTGCAACACTCACCTGCTGGCTGAGGAGCAGGACGCATTTCTGAATGGCGATTCCTCATTTCTTCCATCAGAGCCCTGTTTGGGGAAGGGACAACACAACTCGGATTGGTTTGCAGTACTAACAACTTCTCTAGAAAAGGGCAGTGGTAAGATGGGAAGCCGTATTACCTCTTGCTACAGCCCCCCTTTTCATCTTTCCCATGACCAAAAATTGAACACAAGGAGCAACACTGCAACTGAGCCAAAAATGGCTGTAATTCCAGGTGCAAAAATGGCTGTAATTCCAGGTCCGTTCACCACCTACTCACCGACTGGCACCCTCAGAGTCTGCCTTCAGCTTCTCATTATCTCTTTGCAGTTGTGCAAGTTGCTCTAGCAGGGCCTCTCGCTGTTCATGGAGCTTTTCACGAGCCTGACGCTCTGCCAAGAAGTCTGTCTTGTAGATTTCAGCCTGTCCAAGGAGGATAGGATGGCACTTACTTTACTCCTGGTGCTCACTTAGAGGCACCCCACCTCCTCTTCCTGCATGGCGGCTGCTACACAGAGAGACAGTCACCATCTACTCACCTGTGCCCTGAGAACGGGCACAGTCTCCATGATAGCTTTGTGCTGTTCAGCCTCCTCTTTCAGCTTGTCAATAAACTCCTGCTTGGCCACCAAAGCCTCCTCAGCCTGCTGTAATTGCTGAGACAGTTCAGCAGCCTGCAGGTCCAGGCCCTGAGAAGAGCAGAGAGAGATGGCACTCACACTCAAGGAGATGCAAGGCACAAATACACCCGAGCAATCTCCCCACCCCCACATCTTCCTCCACCTCATCCCCAAAACCAAGAAGAAGGGGATATGATTGTCCCACCCTCCAGTTTCCACTTCTACAACTGCCAGATTTTTCATTAAAATGACACCGTTTCTCCAACCTTGCTCCGCTTCTCATTTTCCATGCTGGTTTTGATATGGGCATCATATTCCTGGAAGAGCTGGTGATAAGCCACTTGCAGCTGTGCTAGTTTTCTCCTGTGTCAGAAAGGGGGAAATAGGGCAGGTGACGGGGACTTGTCACAGGACTCGAGAGTCTCCAGCCGCAGTGCCCTCTTTTTCCTTTTGGCTCTGCCTCTCCCACTTCTGTACTCACTTTTCCTCTGTGGCGCTCTGCCGCTCCACACGCAGGGCCGTTTCTAGGTTATGAACCTGCAACCGCAACTGATCAACTTGTACGCTGTGTTGCTTGGTGCGGGCTTCAGCCTCCCTTTCAAGCTGCTGGAGTCGTTCGCCGGCGCTACGGACCCTGTGGAATATAGCAAAAAACCCTCCACATCTAGCCTTTTAAGGACTAAGCCTCAATTTTGAAGTGGATAATACATCCCCCATCACCCACTGAAAGCCTGTACCATGAAAGCACCAGATCCAGCATAGTTTCGTTCAGTAAGTTTTCCTCACAACCTCTTCCTTCTTCCTCAAAATGTTCACTACTGCCATCGTCCCCTTCGGTCGCATCGTAAGGAAAGTGGGCCACATCTGAGGAAGTGCGTGCCACTGGGGGGCTCTCTGATCTTTCCATCACAGCTACTTGCACTCCCAAAGACGCAACCTGACTATCTCTTCAGCAATGCAAGGGTCTGGAGCGGATTCATCAAAGAAGCGTCTCCAACAATGCAGCATCTTCTACCATTGTTCCTGTTGTGAATTTATGGGAAACCTGAAAGCATGTGGGAAGACCAGAAGCGCTTTCTGCCGCTTGAAGAATGTCTTGTTACAACTGTGGAAAATAAGGAGCGGTTGAACCTGCCTCCTGTAGGGTTTCAAGATGAGTGGCTTCTCCCAGATCCAGAAAAGCCCTGTTTTGGGCATTCAAGCAGCTAAGATCTTCCACGGTTTCGAGAAGGCACAGGATAATCAGTCCAATTTAGGGAGACTCCGTACAGAACAAATTCTATCCCTTGGCAGAACAAGGGTTACTCAGAGAGATCTCTTCCAGTTTGAAATCAGGGTGCTAGAGGAGAAGAGGCAGTAGAGGCAACTTCCCTGTCCCAGAGTGGTCTCAGGTCATTGTGCCATAATGTCTGCATCACTGCAGGCCAAAAGACCCCACCTCCAACCACCTCCCAGCAACACCACCAAACCACACAGATATTTCTCTCACTTCTCCTCCAGCCCTTCCTTTTCCTTTATGGACGTATCCAGGCGCTTTTGACTCTCCGCCAGCTCCGCCAGAAGGGAAGTCACCTGAGCCTTTACTGTGGCCCTGTCATCTCCAACTTGCTGTAATAGAAAATGGATGAAAATGGTGAGTACCTCTGAATGGAGATCATCAGGAGCCTCCACTTGGGAGCTGGGTGCCCCATTACCTCCAACTGCTTGCCAAGTGTTTGCAGCTGCTGTTGGGTCTCCTGCTCCCGTGCTGCCGTGTAGGCCAGCTCCTCTTTGGCTAACACCAGCTGCTGACGAAGGGCTGAACTCCTGGAGGGGCAGGTTTGAAATAACAGGACAAATAGAAGACATTCGCCCCCTGGCCATCATGAACGAACATGCCATCTGTTCCAGTCAATTCAGTTCTAACCATCACCAATTGTATTTTATTTATTTATTTATTTGCTTTGTACCCCGCCCATCTGGTCTATAAGACCACTCTAGGCAGCTTGTATCACTGAGCAATGAATTCGTGAACCCCCGTTGCTCTGCTGCAGCTCTGTGAAGCTTTTGTCACCATGGTATCAGCTAGATATCTCTGATTATGAGTCAGCTCAGGTGTTAAGATCATCAGGAGAGGCCCCTCTTGGTCCTGCCACCTTCATGCACAGGTGTGTCTAAAGGGGTTACAGGAGAGAGCTTTCTCTGTGGCTGCTCCAAGACTTTGGAACTCCCTCCCACAGGAGACCAGACTGGTCCCATCTATGCTCTCCTTATGCAAGCAGGCAAAGGACTTTCTCTTCAGGCAAGCCTTGCCTCAGTAAACCAGCTACCTGTTTGTGATTTTTAGATAGATTGTTATATAATATTGCTTGGACTGGATTTTTAGTACTATTAGTGTTTTCCATTTTTAGAGTGACTTTTTTGTGTACTTATTGATCTTTGCCCTAATAGTGCCTGTTAATGTTGTAAGATGCCTCCTTATTTATTGTTCGTAATTTTAAATATTGTCTTTTAATTATGTTAACCACCATTGCATACCCATTGTTTTTTTAAATATTGTCTTCCATTGCCTTGGGTCCTTTTCAAGGAGAAAGGCAAGGTGGGTAAATAACTAACTAAATGCATCTTTCTGTACTACCTTTGAAAAATTAATGGCTGTGCCTACCTTAGAAAGTAATGCTATCACATCACAAACTTACTCATCTTCTGCCTCCTTCAACTTCTTGAATAGCTGCTCAGCCTTGTCCGCACCAGGACTCTTTCTGTGAAAACCGATTGCATGTTGTGACTTTGCAAAGCCTGCTGATTACCTGATTTGCAGCATCAACACTTGCGTGTATAAAAACCCCTTAATCAACTTTGAGCAAGAGAGCACCTACATGCAAAGATACAAGGCTTCATTGGTTGGGTAGTTCTGTGGGAGGCATCCTCTACACAACCTAGCCTTAACCTTTGTTACTCGGATGTTTTTGAACTGCAACTCCCAGAAACCCCAGCCAGCACAATTGGTGGTGAAGGCTTCTGGGAGTTGCAGTCCAAAACCACTGAGTAACCCAAGGTTAAGAACCAGTGCTCTATACAACCTAGGAGACACTGAGACTACTCCATCCATAAAGCCTTACAACTCCTAGGAAGCATTAGAGCAGTTTCCCTGTTTTTCAAAGAAGAAATTTGCAGATGGGAGCGATGGTAATATGCAACGCTCCTTTATCACTCTGTTTGGGGCTCCATTTCCCAGAATTCTGCCTGGGGGATTCAGGGCAAACTGAGCGACTGGGAGTCCAAAAAAACCCCAAGCCCCATTTCTCATACCAAATACAGCATGAGAATGAATGGGGAATGTGTTGCCCTCCACAAGCTGTTGGCTGCAGCTTCTATCAGCCTATAGCCTGCCTAGTCAACAGCAAGAAGTTAAGAGAGCTGCAGTCCTTCGGCCTCCAAAGGCCAGACACTCTCCTTCCCTGCACTACAGACCGTGGCCTGCAAACTGGAAGTAGCCTGGCTTAAGCTCCAAGGTATTTAAATAAGACTACCATTTCAAGATCATCATCTTCTCCATGTTCCCCAACCATCTGACAGAACAAGAGGATACCAAGAAAAGGTCCTTTTCAGTGGTGGCACCTTGTCTTTGGAATAATCTCCCGACAGAGCCTTGCCTGGTGACAACTAACATACTTTCGATTTTCAGGCTTTTAAATATCCACTGAGTCGTTTTAGACTGGGCCATGTATCTTGATGCTTCTTTTATATTCATGTTTAGTTTTCTGCATTACTTACTTTTGTTGAGTATTTTTAATATCCTGTTGTAAACCATCCTAATAACCTGGATCAAAAGGTAGCACATAAATCTTTTTAAAAAACAAAATAAAACCCACACAAACCTACCAAGTTTGGTCTATGAAGCTCACTTCCTCTGCTTTTCCCTCCCATGCAACTTACCTGTCTCCTGACCTCTGTGTGGAATCCAACTCCAAGGGATGGTCTACTGGAAGAAGTCCATTCTCCTAGGAAGGGAAGCAGAGAACATCATGAGCTCAACGTTACCAGCTCCAGTCATTGCTCCTTGTACTCTTTTTTTTACTGCTATGGGGAACCCTGCACGAGCCTTATCCCCACTGCCCGCCCTTGGTCCGGCCCACATTCATGTGATGCTCATTCCACCTACATTTGCTTCCGTCTTTACTTCAGGTTCTTCTACAAGCAATGTAGACTTGGCTGCTTGTTTCAGTGCTCTGACCTCTGCTTGCAAGGCCAGCTTCTCTTTCTGCAAAGCCTCGTTGGCTTCCTGAAGCTCCTTCAAATCCTTCTCAAAGAGTCCCCTTTTTTGCTGTGGCATCTCTGGAACCTGGAAAAGTAGCAAGGAAGGGGTGAAGAATATGCCCAGTGGCCGGGGGGGGGATTGTAAAGCAAGTTAACCCTGCTGGATCACAAAGTTGAACCCTTTGAACACAGTCTGTGGTAGGTGGGGCAATTTCAAGGGGCTCATGAGGCAAACCTTTTGCCCCCAAGATCCCCATAGACTGTACTGGGGTCATAAACATCATTTTTTTTAGCCATTTTGTTTGTTTGTTTAAAAAGTAACAGGAAGTGCCAGGAATGGTGCTTCTGAATTCACTTTTTTTCATATTAGGTGGAAAGTGGAGGCTTCTAAGAGCAGAAAAAGGCCACTTTTGCTAAAGAAAGAAAGAAAGAAATGTCTTTGGAAGACTTGATGCCTCCCTCTGGTCTCTAGGCTAAGAACCTGCATCAGGACATCTATGAAAATACAGTTAACTACAGTTACAGTGGTGCCGCGCTTAACAATTTTAATTGGTTCCAAAAAAATTCATTGCTATGGAAAACATTGCTAAGCGAAACGCGGTTCCCCTATTGGAATGCACTGAAACCTTTTCGATACATTTCAATGGGGGAGAAAAAAAATAACCAAAAATTCAAAAAGAGTCAGAACGAAGCCAAATTTGGTTAACAAATGGTTTATTAAGTGCACTAATGATTTCAAGCACTCTAAACCCTTTTAAAACAATTTAACACCTTTTAAAAATAGCGAAAACGGAGCTTTCAAAAACATAGCTAAGCGAAACAGGGGGACCTAAACTGTCATCGCTAAGCGAAGCAAGGTCCCGAACATCGCTATGCGAAATTTCCCCATTGGAAACATGGCTAAACGAAGTGCAAGATCGCTCCAAAAACCTCATCGCTAAGCAAATACATCGTTAAACAAGGCAATCGCTAAGTGAGGCACCACTGTATATAAGCTGTCTCTTCACTTCCACTTTTCATCAAGTTTACCTATGCATTGAGTTCAGCCTTCCACAACCTAGCACCTTCGACGTGTGTTTGACTCTTAGGTCTTTTGCACTCTGAATCCCAGAATTCAACCTGCCAGACCTACACCTAAATTGTGTTCTCTTGGAGAAAGGCCAGGTTGGAAGGCTTGGCCCAACTTCATCTTAGCTGTCTGTTAGAAAAAGGAAGTTCCTTTGTTCTTGCCCCGCCTTTCTCCAGGTGAGCACAACTCAGGAGCACATCTGGAATGTGGAACACTCAGAAGGGAGAATTATTGGATCTGCAGTCCAAAACAAGAAAAAGAAAATGAGGAGAAAAATGGCACATCTATAATTGACTAGAGTTCTCTTCATGCCCAGCCAGCATGGTCACTACTAGTTTGGGATGATGAGAGTTGTTGATGTTCTAAGACAACTGGAAATCATCTGGTGGGGACAGCCGCACAAGATGGATGCATTGGCCCTTGCTCTTACCACAGCAAGCACATCTACGTCTTGAGTTAAGGTCACTGTGTCTGGCTCCTCTTGTGCTTCAGACTTCTCCGGCTGGAAGGAAAACGGCTGGGAAGCTGACTGTGGCCAGAAATAAAAAATAAAAATAAATCCAATAAACAAAAAATACTCTAAATGGTTTCAGTATCTTTCCTAGGCCCTTATGTCTTTGATAACTGTATACATACACATTGTCCTGTTATCGTCCCAAAAAGCTAAAGGCACCCCAACCCAATCCTTGGCCCTCCCTGTTACCAGTTTCATCTTCAGTTGCTCCAGTTCCTGGACAGCCTGCTTCAGCTGCTTTTTCAGCCCAGTGCGTTCCGAGTTCAAATTTTCCACCACAAGTCGAGCTTCCTGGAACTTGTGCATGAGGAACTCCTTCTCCTCTTTGTGGGAAACCTGGAATTGCAGGAACTCCTGATAGCGTTCCCGTAGCATGTGGTTACTCTGCCGTATGGCTTCTGCACACAGAACACAGACAGGAGATGTTGGTGAGATCAAGGTTCTGGCTTCCTCTTGGAGGTCAGAATCATGACATCCTTTTTGCTTATAGGCATGGAATGAATGGGAGGAAGAAGAAAAATATCCCACGTTCCTGCCAAAGCCTTCCTTTACTCTGCAGGAAGACTGCAGTGCCCCCTTTTTTTGAGAACCTACTTCTCAATTTCAGAGGCATCACAACCCATTCTCAAATTGAATGAGACAAAAATCCTAAGCACTATGAAATATACTGAGGACCAGACTATTTGAATCAAAGGATTAGGAAAGACTAGAGAAATGTACAAGGCAACTCACCTTCACAAATAAAAAGTTGTGCCAGTCCTAAGACCAATTCTCCTGTAGTGTCTATAGGGCTGCACAGGGAATTGAAAGGTTCAGGTTCTAATCCACACAAGGTCATGAAACTCACTGGGTGATCTGGTCCAGTTGCTCTATCCCTGATCTACCTCACAGGACTGTTGTGATGGTGATGGCGAAGATAAAAGGAGGGGGACAAGAGCCCTGTACACTACCTTGAGCATACTACAGAAAAGGCACAATACTAATAAAGAAGACACCACACCAGCCTCCACTAATCAGTCTCCACCTCCATTCTAGTTAATACACAAAATCTTGACCACAGAGGTAAATGATGTGGAAGGTGAGAATAGCTTATTTGTATATGACTTCTCTGGGCTGCTATAACTTAAGGTCTGGGAGAGTGCTGACTACTTCCCTACATGCTGCTGTGTGTAGACTGATACAGGCTGATTCTACTTCCATCGCAATTTTTGTTGTTGTTTAGTCGTTAAGTCGTGTCCGACTCTTCGTGACCCCATGGACCAGAGCATGCCAGGCCCTCCTGTCTTCCACTGCCTCCCGGAGTTTGGTACCAAATTCATGTTGGTCGCTTCGATGCCCCTGTCCATCCATCTCATCCTCGGTCGTCCCCTTCTCCATTGCAATACAGGCATTAAATATTTCACAACCACAATGTCCAGACTGTAAACAAGATCAGCTCTGTTTTAATTGCTCCCAATTCCCCTGGTTTGTCCCTTCACTGGAGTCACTAATTTCTGGACAGAGTTATATTAAGTCTTCTTCCCTATGACATGTTAAATGTGAGTCAGCTCAAATTGAAAGTTGAAAATTAACAAAGATATTGCTATTTCTGCCAAGACTAGTCTTGTAGGAATTCCATGCCAGGCAGGACCATGCCCCACACCCCTCCTCTATATACAGAAATAGAGCAGGCAGCTTGAGGTTGACCAGGGCTCTCTAGCTCTCCTCTGCTGAAACCGAAGAGCTTAATGGCTCTTGTTGGTTTATTTAAAAGGGAAAAGAGACAAATGATAATCCACCTGAAATTTCTGCTACAAAAAATACGGAAATTAAAACAGCATGCACGGAACCTCCTTGTCCTAACTACTTAGAACAAGGAACATTCAACCTATTTTAGCTCCTATGCTGATTTTTATTAAGGTGTGGGAAGGTAACAAGTATTAGTGTTTTCACAAGAATTCCAGTTCAGTTTATTAAAAAAAAAAAGTTAAGATCTCCTCCCATCTTTGGATGTAATTTTACTGCTGTGGTTTCACACATACACCTTGCTGCTTCCATTAGCCACATCTCGTTTAGCCTAATTGGACAGGTTTACTTCCTAAATATAATTTTCAGGCATGACTAAATTTAAGTAGAAATTAGAATAGAAGTGTGCTGTCTGATTATATTTAAATGTATTTTAATAGGGTTTTGTAAATATGTGGTGGGAGGGGGTAAGTGAGGAGCATGGAACGTTGGTAAGAATGGTTTTGATTGGCTGGGAGAGAAACTAGCTAAGGAGCAGGGAGCGCATTTGTGAGGCAGATTAGAGTCTTATTTAGGAGACTGTCGTCTGGTGTAGAGAGAAGGGAAGAGGGTGGTTTTGGAGTCTGGGGTTTGAGAAGGAAGTCAGAGAGAGCTGGGGAAGAAGTAATAGAATAAAGGATCATGCTGAATGATTTTTAACACTGTTATTTTAACAAAACCTTATTTGCTCTATTCAGACTGAGTGGCGCACAGTTCAATAGCCAAGGGGTGGCTATGTGTAAGGTGTTATAAGAGTTTGAGTGAAAGTGTAAATACACACACTCATAGGAGCAGCTAAAGGCTGATGGCCATGAAAGAGAAACAGAACAAACAATTGAAGATAATTAATGAAAATGTGTTTATTCCTGTGGTGATTTAAAGAGACCATAACCAAAACAGTCAAGTGACAAGACAAAGTGGGGTTTGATATCAGTATCAGAGAGAAGAGGTGTGACAAGCAGTCCTAGCCAGACTGTTAGTCTGGCACTGAAACTCAAAAGAGGAAAGTACCAGACATAGTAATGGAAATGCACACCACTGAAATCAGGAACTGAATCTAAAGGAGTCTAAACTAAGTTTACCTCTTATCGACCTACCTGGATATTTCCTATTCAAATCTCATTCTCACCTTTGAGGTCTCGATTCTCAGCCAGGAAGTGCTGCACAGCCTCATGTCCTGCCAGCTCAGCTGGTAGATGAAGGGTAGCAGCTTTGCCCAGAGAGGAATCATCCCCCATTATGCCACAGTCACTGGCTGGGCACTCGCCTGGCTGCACCATGTCACAGCTCCAGCCCCGCTGGGCTCCACTCATCCAGCCAGGTCCTGGAAACAGAGAGGGTGATGAAGAACAGGGCTTTTAAAATACACACAGAACACACATAAATCCGTCAGAGTGCATCCATCTATCAAACAAATGATGGGTGGTCACCCTTTCTCTGAGGCTACTGTCTCAAGGCTATTCGCTTTCAGTAGAAGGCTGTATAATATTAAAAACCTCCCCAACAAAAGTGAAATGTTATAGGTCTAGCATATGTTTCAGTCCAGTAACTTGTGAAAAAGGTTGGTGCCATTTGTGTCTTCCACCTCTTGTTGGGACTGGTACTCCCTCACCCCTGTCTCTGCTGATAAAGGCTACTGGGAGTTGCAGTTCAACAACATTGGGAAAGTCACAAGGTGTCCAGCCTGAAGATATAAGAATTCACACTTTACCCATCCCCCAAGGCTTACCCCCAAGGACCTTGAGCCAGCCACCACCTCTCAGCCTAATGTTAGTGTTGCTGTAAGGGTCTTTTTTTTTTTTAATGGAGGCAAGGAAGGCGCTCCATGCATGTCACTCAAAACTCTTTGGAGGAAGCAATGAATAAACATACAACTAATAAAATAAACCCAGAGTAAGACAGGTCTATTAATGGCCATCAGAGAGAACTCTGTTCAGAATCCACTTTTAATCACCTATCCATGTTTACACTTCTCCTGAAAGGTCTCATGTTTCCTTTCAGGTGGAAAAAAACTACCAAGAGGGCTATCGCCTTATATTACCCTACTTATGCTTCCAAAGACATCTGGCTGGCCAGGGTCGAGAACAGGGCTAGAAGCATCTTTGCTCCAATCCAACAGGGCTCATTCGTCAGAATTTGGAAAAGTTAATTTTTGTGGGCTACAACTCCCCCACCCCACCCCCGACAACATAGCCAGAGACCATGTTTGTTCGGGGGAATTGCAGACTCTAAAAGTAACTTGTCCGAAGTTCCTCGAATCGTTCCTTTCGGGCCCCAGGGGACTCCCACCAGCTTCGGCGGCCAGCGTGGTGGAATGTCCGAACCTCTCCCTTTGAGCGGAAGGAAAGTCTGAACTTCCACGCCTGTCTTGCAGAGCTCCTCCGCCCGGGAAGAGCCGGACGCCTGGGTCCCGATCCCAAAACAAGCCTCTCGCCGCCCCGGCATTCCGTTTTCGGAGAAGGGAGAAGAGAAAGCAGAAGCCCCCCCACCTCTACGCCCGACTCCAGATTCCCCAGTTCTTCCTCTTGCTGCTCCGGCTTCTTCCTCCTTCCCGGATTAATGTTTTGCGGTTCCCCGGAAATGACATCCAGAAAGAGAAAGCAAAGCAAAGCAAAGCGGGGAAACGAAAGGGACGAGCCCGGGAAGGGGCCCGAAGAGCAGGATTGGGGCGGAAGTGACGTCGAGTTTAATGGCAGGGGCGCCCATAGAGATAGTAAATAAGGGAGACCGTCAAGCAAGCAGCTGCTTTATTTTGTTTGAATGGCAGGGGCGCCCATAGAGATAGCAAATAAGGGAGACCGTCCGCGAAAGCTCTCATTAAAATATAGCAGTTTGTCCGTAAGGTGCCACAACGTTTTTGTCTTTTTCAATGTATAGGTTTGTTGTATTTTATGGGCTACAGAAACTGCGATTTTCGATTAAGAGGCAAAGGAATACTGTACTTTAATGGCAACCACGCATGCCTTCTAAGAAGGATCTGAGCTTGCCAAAGCATCAAGTTTTGCCTCTGACTTCAACTATGTATTTTGGAGGGCGAAGATAACAAGATAAAAGCAAGTCTTGGATTTCTTTTGTCATCTCCTCTGCAAAGCCTCTGAAACACCACTCCAAAGAAGAGACGCTCAGGGTTTCAGAGGCACAGGACACGACAATGAAAACAACAACAACAACCGGGAAATAAATCTCTTAGTTGTTGTTGCTCTAGAACTCTTGAGGGCAGTGTCTGTATCACTTACGGTTGGAGACAGGGGAACATTTTTTAAAAAAGGACAGTAACCCACTTCCGTCCAGCAGCCAGGAAGGTCTCGGGTTTCTCCTGAGAGGCGTCCAAACACAGCTTGTTTCCAATCAGGTGGTTGCACCGCAACCCTGCCCTTAATTCTGCAACTGGGTTAAAATAGGAGCATGGGCGAACAGGATAGCAATCAGTCTCGCTCTGAACTCCGGCTGCACCAATGTGAGCTGAGACTGAGTGTGTGTTTGTGTGTGCATGTGGGGGCGCGAGCGGCACTTGCACTGCTCACTCAGATCGAGGCAACCGGAGTGTAGAGCAAAATATAAATTGCGATGTGGCTCTTAAAGGCACGGAACCTCTTTGAGGCGTCAAGGTGGGGGGAAAGGCAAGTGGCATGCCCCGAACCCTTTCGTGTCCACGCGTGGATTGCGCGCAAAGACTCGAAGACCGCCCGGCCTCCCGATTCCCTCTCTTAGAGGCAGCTTAAAAAGAAGTGGGACTCCGAGTAGGAAATCGGCAGCAACGACCTGATGTGCAAATAATTATTCTACAATACATATTCGGTCCCCTGGATTTGGAGAAATAGGATATGGCAAACCAGAGAGAATGAGAGAGAGAGACAGAGAGAGATAAAAATAAAGATAGAAGGTCCTCGTTTGGGGTATGAGTGGGGAGGAGAGTTAGCAGAGGGGAGGACTGAACGGGCATTGAGGTGGAGTGGGGGGGAAGAAAGGTCAGAAAGAAGATGATGATGAAAACTAGTATTGTATTGGGGAACCTGGTACAGATCGAACGTGCAGTGGGATGGAGAAAACAGGTATTTGGCAATGCAAATTTGCTGCCAAGTCCTAATTATTCTAGTTATTAAAAAGTAAATCTTGTGTTAAGCCTCTAAGCTAGTGGCTGGCCATAATGTCTCCGGAATGCTGTGCTTAAATGTGCCTTTGGCCTGAACGGAAGACAACTTCTTAACTCCCTGCTGTGAAATTTACCTTCAAATTAGTTTGCTCAGGCTGAAGCCTTCATGTACAAAGTAGTTTATTTCACTTTTTTTAAAAGCCCCGTTTGAGATCACTGGATGCATAGTCTGTGGGAATTTCATCCAGATCACATGCCTGCAGAGATGCTGTATGAGTAATGCCTTGCTGCAGTGTGTAGCATTTTATCATTCCCAAAGGAATGAATGGCAATTCAGCGATCTAGGAAGAAGTAAAGTGTGGCTGTGGTAACAGAATTAAATATAGACAAATATTTTGTCTCTTAGCCACGTCGTCGTCGTTTAGTCGTGTCCGACTCTTCGTGACCCCATGGACCAGAGCATGCCAGGCCCTCCTATCTTCTACTGCTTCCTGGAGTTGTGTCAAATTCATGTTGGTTGCTTCGCAGACACTGTCCAGCCATCTCATCCTCGGTCGTCCCCTTCTCCTCTTGCCATAGCATGTTGGACGCCTTCCGACCTGAGGGTCCCATCTTCCAGCATCATATCTTTTAGCCTTATGTTTCTGATCATGGGGCATTCTTGGCAAAGATACTGGAGTGGCATTGCCATTTCCTGCTCCAGGTGGATTGCGTTTAGTCGGAACTCTCCACTATGTCCTGTCCGTCTTGGGTGTCCCTGCATGGCATAGCCCATAGCTTTTCTGAATTACTCAAGCCCCTTTGCCACGACAAGGCAGCAATCCATGAAGGGGATTAGCCACAGCCTGTCCTAATGATGGTGATCTTCTCAGGTAGCAGGTACTGGGGAGAGGTAGTGGCCATAGTCTCCTGGCTGTTACACCTAAATTCTGCAGCTGTTCTCCTTTGCCACTTAACATCCTGTGGATGTCCTAGTAACCCTCTCCTGCATTTGCCCTTAGAAAAGCAGGGAGCACTGCCATCTGATGGCTAAACTCTGTTATGAGACTGAACTTCTAGCAGGGTTACCCAAGGGAGAATGGTAAAAAATTAGATTCCAGACTAAGGTCATCTACCTTCTTCAGGATTAACAGTTAAATCAGCAGAAGGGAATGGATAATTCCAGTGATAATGGGGGCACAGAAATTCCACTAGAAATGGTAGCAGCCGTAGTAGAAGGAGAAACTGGCAGAGGATCTTTCACAGACAAATAAAGGGCCACTCAAGTTAACTCCTGTCACTTCTGTGCAGAAGGCGGCATTGATACACCAGTCCTGAATATTTCTTATTGTGAAAATCCTGTGATGAGACAATTGAAAGCGAAATAAGAGAAAGTAATGGAAGATGACATGTTCAGGTCAGAGATATTCAGTCAGCTATTGAGAAAGACCAAAGGAGATGTGTGGATACCACCGTTGCTAATGAAACAAATAGATTAAACCTGAAATAACATTTAGTGGTGGATGTGCGCAAGGGTAAAAGGAAGGTTGTGCATGTAACGACCTCCTTCTACCTCACCAAGGAAGGTCGCTACGTCACTCCACTGTTACTCTTCTGGTAGTCTGCCACCAACCATCCCCTGCAATAAGTATCTTCAGGCCGGAATGGATTTCAAACAAAATAACTAAAGTTTATTGATTGGTACATTAAGATTGGTATAACAAATAAATCAGGTAATCACATAAAGAAAGGCTCTAGCTCACACAGACTCATATCTCCACACAATCTGATCACTATCTCATCTCAACACTCACAGATCCTGATCTGCCCCTCACACACATTCACACCC